TATGAATAAAATAACTTTGATTGGTATACATTTTGAAAAAAATTATTCACTTAGCAATCCCTGTATTTCATAAAGATAAGGTTTTGGTAGGATTTATGCACAGTAAATATATTTTATCCTTGAACAATATTAAACATTCAATAACATTTGATCAATTGTTTGAAATTTTTAAGTATTTTTGGAACTTTAAAAACGTATAGATGTTAATAACTGTAGTGATGTAGTAGATTCTGGTGGTGGTAGTTCTGCCCCAGCTCCTATAATCTGAAGCCATTAAAAATGACGTATTTTTATGTTCTTTTGCCAAACTAAGCAGAGTTCTACTGTTAAAGGAAATACAGGGGCCTAAAGATGTAAGTTAAGTAAGATACAAAAAAGCAAACAAATCCAGAATGTTGGACATCTAATAGTACAACTTTTAAAGGAATATTTGCAAAAATTATAGATTGCACCATATAAAACCAATATTCTACTGTTTTTGGTCTACAGAAGGGTAATTTCATATAGCTCAACTTAATATTTTTGTGGTGAAAAATATTTTATCTGAAATGTACAATTTCCTTTAGTTTCATTTCAATTTTTCTTTTGTTAAGCTGGGTAAATATATATATATATATATAACATTTTAAAAATATGCAGAGCATAAACCTATTTTTATAAAATTATTACCATTTTCCTTCAATCTATTCATCCTGACTGTATGTTCTTATAATGTGTACTTATAAACAGGTATTTAAAATAATGCTCAAGTGTCAATAATAGTTGTTTTAAAAATTTTTTCTAAGCTTAATAGACTTTTTATAATTAAAGAAAATCTTACTTGACGTAAAGCTTTGCTAGCTACAGAAATTTTCATTAGATAACTATCAGTGTCATCAAAAGTGCCTTGAGCCCTAACTTCCAATAAAGCTGGGTTTCCAACTAACACTTTCAGTAGTGGTACTTCAAGTATTTGAAGACCTATGGAAACAAAGTCAACAGTTACTATAACATAATGAAAATTGTAAACTCAATTTAATAATGATTGGCTAACCAGGATTTTAGAACATCTACAGAATCTATTATGAAGGCTGCATAATGGTTACACATATAGTTAACAATTTACATAAAATCAACTTTAATAGTTCTTAGAGAAATTTATTTTTACAAATATTTTCTCAGAAAAATATTGCTCCCTTCTACCCCTCATTCCTCTGCCAGGTTCTCAAATGCATACCAGGGTCTCTTGGATAATACTAGTTACACTGAGTTAGTTGATTTAGCAGAAAAAAATGAAGAGTACATCCTGAATTTAAAGGGCTGCCAGTCAATTACTTGCCAAGAGAAAACTCTTGGGCATTTCAAACAAAATATGACATCAGGCCAATTTCTGCCTGCAGGTCATCAGTTTGCAACCTTGCCATGCTGAGAACTTTAAAGGAAAATGAGACTTGAAATACCATGTAGTCTAACTGCCATCTTTCATAACCAATAAACCAGAGTTGATAAGTAATAAATGCTTTGCCTGAGGTCTCATCTGTAGCTGTTTCGCTTAAACCAAAATAATCTATCTGGCTAGGGCTTCCTAACCTTTAACTGAGGATTTTGTTAAATTGCAGATTGAGAAGGTCTGCAGTACAGCCTGGGATTCTACATTTCTAGCAAGGGCCCTGGTGCTGCTAATGTGGGTTCAGGGACTACCCTTGAAGAGCACAGACTAGGCTTTTCTACGGAAAGAGGCAATTGAGTTGATTTGCTGATTACTATTTGCTTCCATCAAACTGAACAAGTATAAATGGTTGAGTCCTTTAACAACCAATTTGGTATATTTTAAAGCTAAAATAATTATTTTATAGAACATTGTGGTATCAGTCCAGAATATAAAGAGATTACAATAGAATAGATTTTTAAAACCCAGAAATGGTCAAAATAATAGGTAAATTGTATACTAAGATAAAATTACATTTTGAAATCAGTGAACGAAAAGGACTAATGTTGGAGCAACTAGCTAACCATCTACAATATACCAAAACAAAATTCAGACAGCTTTAAGAATTAAATAGAAAGTTAAAACCATAAAATTAAAACTCAAATTATTTGAAGGGAATATGGACAATTAGTCATATAAACAACAAGAAAGAATCTATGAAGGTTTCAAACAGAAGGAAGTTTTTCAGGATATTTAGCATACAGTATTGATGGTAATATATGTCCTCAAAATTTTTTTCAAAGCCTATAATTTTCATTTATATAAGTTGTACTTGGTTTCTTTTTTCAAATAAGACTTTTTTAAAAATTGCATTTTGTCCTTTCATCATGGTTCCTATATCTTCTTTTACTCTGAGAGTTTTATGCATACTTATTTTATAGTGTCTTTCTTATTTTTCTATTATCTCAAGTTCTTGGAGTTTAAATTTTTCTGTTTCCTGTGCCTGTTGACTGTCTCTTACATTGGGTCACTTACTTATATAGTTTTAAAATTTTTTCTCTCAGTTCATGTTCAATGGAGATTGATTTTTCCATACTAGCCCACAATACCTGGTTATGAAAGTGTTCCCACAGAGGGTTTTGTATGTGCTTATGCTGGGGCCCATGTGTTATCATTATTTCTCAGCTCGCGATTCCTGCATCTGGTACGCAGTTCCTGGATGTGACACAGTCTTGGAGTTTGGGTTTTTTACAAGAGATTCTTTTTACCCCACTCTGAGCTCCAGGAAGATGATAATACCCCTTACTGCTTCTTTGGGTCAGTGGGTAGAGTTTTCCTAATCCCCTCTTCATGATCTGATGGTCCCAGCTTTCTTTAACAGTCTCAGTTCCAACTTCCTATCACAAAGTAAGAAGGCCCCAAATCAAACGTTCGGTCAATACTTGGGCATTAAAATCCATCACACTGCCTATATGGCCTGTATCTTAATGCCATATCCTTCAGGGAGCCATACATTAGCTAATTTCTTTGGCTTTGAGTTCCCTCCTCATTTCTGGTGACAAGATTTTCTTATCTTTTCCTCCCTTTCTCCCCTACTCCCTCCCTTCCATCTTTCCTTCCTCTCTTTCTAGTTCAGTTATTTACTACAATTTTTTGTTTTATTTTTCCAGCATCTTTAATAAGTTTTGAAATAAATAATACCTGGAGAAATGCAGAAGAATATAAAATTCTATTTAAAAGCCACTTTTTGGCTTAAAACGAATAGAGTTGTCCTTTGGTATACACAGGGGATTGGTTCCAGGACCCCTGTGTCTACCAAAATCCACTCATACTCAAGTCTTACAGTGCACCCTGCAGAATCCACATACATAGGAAAAGTCAGCCTTTCTGTGTATGTGGGTTTCATATCCCACAAATACTGTATTTTCTATCCACTGGTTGAAAATATCCACGTACAAGTGGCTCTATGCAGTTCAAATCAGTGTTGTTCAAAGGTCAGCTGTATGTGAAATAAATATAACAATACAAATGTAATTAAAAGGTTTTCATTTCAGAGGATGACGAAAACCTAAACTAAAATTCTGTGTAAACTTGGGCTGGTAACTTAACCTCATTTTCCTCATTTGTAAAATAAGGAGTATAGTCTGTGTCTTTAGGATCATTATAAACATTACATAACATAAGGTATAAAAATAATTTAATCCAGAGCCTAGCACATAATAAGTGCTCGATAATTAGAAGCTAATATTGTTATTAGTAGAATGCCAACAATTATGGGAACCAAAGATAAAGTAAATATTAAAAAGTATATTTCACATTCACGAAAAGAATAACATCTCCTGTTGATATTTCCCAATAAAAACAAACTTACCTTTTGCATTAGGTATGATTTTAACTTTTAAAACCTGAGAGTTTCCCAGATCAATGTATTTCACCATGTTGATGGATAGTGACTCATTATGTTGAAACCAATAATTACACGGTTTTGAATATATAGTCCATGTTTGTCCATTCCTTTGCCCAAAGTTGTATAAAAACCAGGAGTCCTTTGGAAAGGTCACATTGCTGGATGCTCTGTTAGGCATTGTAGCAATAGCTAATGCATTCTTATCATCTAAAATGCTTGTGATCAGGAAGCTGCTGTGACCAGGAATCACCACAGTTTTCTCTATATCTGTATCTTCAAATAAGGCATTAGCAACTGGAGATAAAACAGAAAAGATTTGGTATAAAATAAAACAGCCAATATTCACCAAGCATAGCGGTGTACATAACTAACAAATACACTATTTGAGCTTTTACATTATTATCTTAACCAGACAACACATTTGCCAAATTTCAAGTTATAATTCAATTATATTATAGAAAATTTATCATGGATATGTCATGCACCTTATACTTTAATGTTTACTATGAAACCATTCTATAAAATTATCAGCAGAAAATAAAACCATGTAGGACTAAGTAAAGAAAGCTGATTACTATGGAACTGCAAAAAGATTTAATAACCTGATATATTTATGGTGATTATACAAGAGTAGGATAAGGTAACCAGTGTTTTCCAGTGCTTGAAGGTGTGCGTATTACATAAAAGGAGCTCAATAAATATTTGTTTAACGGATGAATAACTGTTCAACGAGAACACGAAGATTTAGAAGAAAAACCAGGGTGGGACCTTCGGGAACACCATCGTTTAAGGAATGGGAAGGGGAAAAGATCCTCTCAAGGAGACAAACAACTGGAGAAAATCCACTGGAGAAGATATCAGTGAAGCCAAAGGAAGGCTGTTTCAAGGAGAGGGAGGTCATCACTATCAAAATATTTTTGATAGGTCATGAAACACATCAGCAATATTGTCTTAACTCTAAAAAAAAAAAAAATAGAAGCAAGCCTCATAATTTCCTTAATTATGCACACATGCTTTAATTACTCCTGATTTAAACAAACCAACAAAAATCCTTTCTAACATCCCCCCTTCACCCACAATATAACTTCCCCTCTCCCCTTTACAGTGAAACTCCCTGAAAGCATTACCTTTATTCGCTGTCTTCAGTTCTTCTCTTCTCATAGTTCGTTGAACTCATTCCAATCAGACTTTTGTCCAGCCAACTACTCCACTACTCTACTACTCCAGCCAACAGCTTTTGTCAAGGTTACCAATGACTTTCACACAGATCCACTGGCCAGTTTTCATTCCTCACCTTACCTGACCTATTGGTGGTATGTAACACAGAAGCACTTCTTCCTCATTTGGCTTCTGAGACACACTCTCTCTTAGTTCATCTCTGACCAAACCATTCAATCTCCTTTACAGATTCTCCCCCATTTCCCTGGATGCTAAAGGTTGGCATGCCTGGCATTAGACCTCAAACCTCTTTTTTTCCCTGTCTCCACTCATTTTCCAGGTGTTCTTATTCGGTCTCATAGCACTAACTATCATATCATATTAATACATATGCTGACAACTCTCAGATTTATATCTCCAGTCCAGACCTCTTCACTGAACTTCCAGACCTATATTCCTAAATGCTCATCTTATTCCTCTGACTGGATGAGTAACAGGCATCTTAAGTTTAATATGACCTCTCACCTGATTATTCCAACAGTCTCCATAGCTTATTTCCCTGCTTGCCTCCTTGCCTTTTCTCCATCACCTGCCCAGTCTGTTTTCACCACAGGCTCCAAAGTGATCTCATTAAATCATAAGTCAGATCATGCCACTTTCTTTTCAAAACCCTCCAATAGCTTCTTGTTACTCAGAGTAAAACCCAAATTCTTAGAATAAACTATATTAACTTTTGCTATGTATCTATCAGCTTATCCTTTTACATAGAAATACCCTACATAACAGCGATTCAAAATTATTTTATTATGTGGGCAAAGTCTGTGTGAACTTCCTATTTTCTCTCACTGCTTCTGAGCATTGTTTAAGGCAAAATAAACTCATAGGAATGAATGATAGGTGCTACTATTGATGAGATATCAATAAAGTTATAGCTAGGTTTTCTTATATTAGAAAAAAATAAATCCTCTCGGAACCTAAGTATATGTAAACTTAGGTAGTTTGCCAATTGGACTAAAATTTGAAATCTATTGCTCTATAAATGAGCATAAAAAAATCTTTTCAAAAGATATTTTTTGTAGTTATCAGAGATGTATTATATTATTACACTTACTTTGTAAATCAAGCGTAAGTTTATAGAAGGAATTTCCAGTATAACTAATGGAAAGAGAACTAGACAAACAAGAGCTCTCATTCGCTTCTTCTATTCCAAAAGGCTCTATCATTTCTGCAATAGCTGAGGACAAAAATCCTTTAGGAGTGTCATGTTGCAGTATCTTTCTTATGTAAGCTTTCCCAGTTTTCCTAAAAACAAACCAAGAATTGTTAAACAATTTGGATAAAACAGTGGTTTAAGTGAGCCACTTTATGAACAAACAATTTACAAACCCCTAAATAGCTAACTAATGAACATTTGATTAACATTTGTTCAATCTCACTAGTAGTCAATAAAATAGCAATTACAACAATGGGGTACAATTTTTATCTCTAAAATTAGTAAAGATTTTTAAATGACAGGGTTCAGTAGTGGCGAGAATTGAGTGGAGATGGGCACTCATCCACTACTGATGGAATTATAAATTAGTACGAGCTTCCTAGAAAGCAATTTGACACTATACATTAAGAGCTCAATCATTATTTTTTTCCCTCTGATTCTATAATTCTATTAATATGGCTTGATTATAAGGAAATAACCTAAAACACAGGGAAAAGCTTTCTATACAAAGATATTCATTACAGCATTATGGTAAAAATTAGAAATAAAGAATTGCCAACAACAGGAAAACTAAGTAAATGATAATGCATGACATACTTGGAGTAAATCCAAGTATTAAAGTGGAGTTTACAAAGAGCTTTTAATTTTATAAGGAAAATGGTCATATTATAATGTTCAAATGAAAAAGGCAAGGTAAAAATGTTAAAATGCATGTAAAAAGGACTAATTGATAATATATCAAAGTATTAACGTAATGATTTAAATTTTCTTTTTTATATTTGTCTGCCTTTTAGGAAATTTCTATAATGGGCATATATTAACTTTATAACCTATTTTTAAAATGTTAGCCTTGGATATCCACATGCAAAAAAAAAAATGAATTTAGACACAGACTTCATAGCCTTCACAAAAATTAACTTGAAATGGATCACAGACTTAAATATAGAATGTAGAACTAAAGCTACTAGAAGATATTAATAACATAGGAAAAAATCTAGATGACCTTGGGTATGACAATCACTGTTTTCCACAATTAAAAAAATTGTGTTAAAATGTGTGCTATGTTTGAACATGTCCCCCAGAGTTCCAATGCCACAGTGTTGAGGGGTGGGATCTTTAAAAGGTGATTAGGTCATGAGGACCATGCCTTCTTGAATAGATGAATGCAATTATTGCAAGAGTGGGTTCCTGACAAAAGGATGAGTTAGGCCTGGTGGGTTTGCCTTTCTACCTTCTGCCATGGGGTGACATAGCAAGAAAGCCCTCCTCAGATGTGGGCTCCTCAACCTGGGGCTTCCCAGCATCCTGAACTGTAAGAAATAAATTCATTTTCTTTATAAATTATCCAGTCTGTGATATTCTGTTATAGCGACACAAAACAGACTAAGACAATACACATAACAAAATTTGCCGTCTTAATGCAATGACTTGTTAATATCACACCAAAGACAATCCATAAGAGAGAAAATTGATAGGCTGTACTTTATTAAAATTAAAAACTTCTCTGTGAAAGACCTTATCAAGAGAATTAGAAGACAAACCACATACTAGGAGAAAATATTTGCAAAAGACATATCTTATAAAGGGTTGTTATCCAAAATAAACTGTAGGGGAGAGGGAAAAAACCCCTCTTTTTTTCTCTACCTTCCTAGGTTCTGTGACTGGAACCCTGAAAATCATACTGAGAAAAGACAGATTAACGAGAGAAAAACAGGCAGAGTTTGCTAACATGTACCTTGTGTGCATTGTGCTTACATGTATGAGAAATGTTAGCAATGAGTTACTAAAAGGGATGGTTAGAACTTGGGGCTTATATAACCTCTTAACAAAGAACAATAAATTTTTAGAGAAGTGACAAGGCAAAGGAAAATGAGTTCAGATTTTTTCCAGTCAGCAAACTGTGGGAAGGTAAATAAATGGGGGAAACTAATGAAAGATAAGGTTACTTTGGTAAGGTTTTAGTATGTGGATTCTTCTCTGAGTCTCTGGGCTGATTAAGAGTCTAGATTTGTCTCAAATGATTAAAAGTCATCCTGCCCATTTTGGTGGATGGGGAAAAGGATTTTTCTTGTGTCTGGTTCTTCTCCATAGCCTTTAGCTCAAAATAATCCCTATGCCAAGGTGGCATATTTGGGGATGGCATATTTTGATCCCCCTATAAGTCAAACAACTCTTAAAGTACAATAATAAGAAAACAAACAACCTGATTACAAAATGGGCCAAATACCTTAACAGATACCTCACCAAAGAAGATAAATGATGGAAAATAAGCATATGAAAAGGTATTTCACATCATATGTCACCAGGGAAATGCAAATTATTAATAACTATGAGATACTACTTCATACCGATTAGAATGACAAAAATCCAAAACAGTGACAATACTTAATGCTGGTGAATATGTGGAGTAACAGGAAGTCAGTCATTGCTGATAGAAATGCAAAATGATATAGTCAGTTTGGCCATTTCTTATAAAACTAAGCATACTTTTATCGTAGGATCTAGCAATATGCCTTGATATTTACCCAAATGAGTCAAAAACTTATGTCCACACAAAAACCTGCACATGGATGTTTATAGTAGCTTTATTTATAATTGCCAAAACTTATCAATAGAAGCAACCAAGATGTCCTTCAGTAGGTGAATGGATAAATAAGCTGTGGTATATCCAGATGATGGAATATTATTCAGCATTAAAAAAGAAATGAGCTATCAAGCCATGAAAAGACATGGAGGAAACTTAAGTGTGTACTATTAAGTGAAAGAAGCCAATCCGAAAAGGCTACGCACTGTGTGATTCTAACTATATGACATTCTGGAAAAGGAAAAACTATGGACACACAAAAAGATCATTGGTTGCCAGGTGTTGAGGGGAGAGAGGGATGAAGGGGCAGAACACAAAGGATTTTTAGGGCAGTGAAACTCTTCTGTGTGATACTATAATGATGGACACATGTCATTATACATTTGTCCAAACCCATAGAATGCACAACACCAAGAGTAAACCCTGATGCAGTCGTCCCCAGCCTTTTTGGCACCAGGGACCAGTTTCATGGAAGACAATTTTTCCACAGACCAGGGGGCAGGGGTGGGGGGAAGGTTTCAGGATGATTCAAGTGCATTATGTCTATTGTGCACATTATTTCTATTATTATTACATTGTCACCTGCCACTCAGTAATAGGGATTCGATATGAGTCTGCAAGCAATTGATTTATTATGGTCTCTGTGCAGTCAAACCTCTCTGCTAATGATAATCGGTATTTGCAGCCACTCCCCAGAGCTAGCATCACTGCCTCAGCTCCACCTCAGATCACCAGGCATTAGATTTTCATAAGGAGCACATGACCTAGGTCCCTCGCATGCACAATTTACAGTAGGGTTCGTGCTATGAGAATCTAATGTTGCTGCTGATCTGACAGGAGGCAAAACTCAGGCAGTGATGCGAGCGATGGGGAGTGGCTATAAATACAGATAAAGCTTTGCTCACTCACCTGCTGCTCATCTCCTGCTGTGCAGCTCAGTTCCTAACAGGCCACGGACTGGTACTGGTCCACAGCCTAGGGCTTGGGGACCACAGTTCTAATGTAAACTATGGACTGAGTGATAATGATGTGTTAATGTAGGTTTATCAATTGTAACAAATTTACCACACTTGTGCCGGATGTGGATAGTAGGGGAGGTTTTGTGTGTGTGTTGGGGAGGACAAGAGGTATATGGAAACTCTTTGTACTTTCTGCTCAATTTTGGTATAAAACTGCTTTATTTTGCTGTAAAACTGTAATTAATAAAAAATAAAGTGTACTAATGTTAAAAAGTTAACCTCTCTGAAGTCAATGGCCAATGGCCAGGCAGCCACCTTAATTCCTGAAGCTGTCTCCCCACATTGCTGGAGAAGTAAATGAGTCTTTTGCATTCAAGTGTAAGATTGCTCTTGGGGGTGAATAATCTCTGCTGTTCCAGGAGAGAAGAGAAGTCAGCCTTAAAAGGAGAAAGAAAGACGATTTGGGCAATGAAGAATGAACTTAAATTTAGAAGTCAATGAGTTCCAGAAGTAAAGAAGTACAACTGTTGAGCAGTGAAAACACTACAATAAGACGAACATCATCAAACTACACCACCTATACATTCTAAGATCTCCTTCCAATGCCTGTGCTGTTTCCCCAGCCCAGACCCTCCGTCCCATGCCCACGTTCATCAAGGTTACTACAGCTTAGAATGTTGCCAAATTCAAAGGTCACTTCTTTGATCTTATTTTACTCAGTCTCTCAGCAGCATGCATCACAGTTGTTCACTCCAAAGTTTCTGAAACACCCTCTCTTGGTTTATATGGCCCCAATTTTCCTATTTTTCCCCCTACCTTACTGGCTGCTCATACCTTACTGGTCTCTCCTTCTGATCTCAATATCTCTTCCTGGCATGTCCCGGGGCTTTTGTTCTCTACATATACCCTCTCCTGCAGGTAAAATCACCCATCTATGTATGGACAACTATCAAATGCCAAGCTCCTGCTCGGACTTTTCTGAGTTATGAATTCATACACCCAACTACCAACTTCACATTTCACTTAGGCACCTAACAGACATTTCAAACTCAACATGTCTAACGTGGAACTCTCATAGAACTCTCAATTACCTTGCCTAATAACTGCACTCTTCATTTCAGAAAATGGCAGCATCGTTCACCTGGCTGCAAGCCATAAACCTAGATAATTCTTGATTACTTTCTTGCTCGTACCCCCAACAGGCAATCCATCATCAAATCCTGTCTTCTCCCAAGTGCACCTGCTCCAGCACCATCATCCCTCACCTGTATTACTTCAGTAGCTTTCTAAGGGGCCTAGCAGCTTCTACTCTTGCCCTATCTCATACTTTTACCAGCAGTCAGAGTGATCTTTCAAATATACAAATTAGATTATTTTATTGTCCTACAAAAAATTCTGTAATGGTTTCTGCTGCCACCAAGAAAAAAATTTAACTCCTCATGCAGCCTATAATACTTTATATGATCTAGCACTTGCTGACTTCCTCCCTAACCTTCCCACCACACCATCTCACTATTAGCCATCTGACACTGCCCTCCTTCCTATT